CTGTTTATTGTTTTGGCCAAGGTTATTGAGAGAGTTGGACTGAAATTGATTAGATTTTTTAAATCAACTGTTGGTAAATCAACAAAGTCTGTTATGGCCTCTGAAGCAACAGAGAGATGTTTTCTAATAGTCAGGGTTTCCAATGTTCTGAATGTACTTGAAAGTATTGTGTTTTACTTAAAAAACAAAGTGTTATAGTTTACAGAAGGTCTACCTACCTATAGGCTACCTGAATCTCTGAAATGTACTATATTCCTAAATATGCTATTGCTACACTTTATGGCAAAAATGGCACTTTTCTGTTGGTCTTGGTTAAGAACCTCCTTGAAAAAAATAAACAATGTTTTGTTGCTTAAGCTTATGTATTCAGTCATTATTCAATGGTATACTAAAATCCATGTGAAAAAAATTGCTTCTCACTGTTCTCAGGTCAAATATTTATATGCGATTAAAAATGCGATTAATTGCGATTAATTAATTACAAAGCCTGTAATTAATTAGATTAATTTTTTTAATCGAGTCCCGGCCCTAAAATAAACACTTGCATACAAACATTTATAAAATTGATTTGTGCTGTATTTAATATTGCATAGCACCATATACTGTGTATACATATGTATTTTAAATATATATTTCATTAGGTAAAGTTCTGTGTAAAGTAACACCAGGACCACTGGTTGAATTGAAATGTAATCATTCGTTTTATCTCATCTGTTCATCAAGTGGACGTTTGTTTTAAATGTGCAGATCGGTCCTGAGACACGGCGACAGAGTGGGACAGACGGACTGACAACCTGAAAACATGAATGGGGCAGAATAACTGTCCTGAGAGGACGTAATGCTCAATTCAGAGGTAAATGATGTACTTTTACTACATTTATTTTACACCTTTAGTTACTTTCCAGATGTGGATGAATGATGTGAAATATAACCAAGTGTTAAATCAGACTTTAGTTCCACCCGGAGTAAATTCACAAGCTACCCTGCAGTATACAAAGTCATTCAAACTAGCTGCACCTTTACCAGCTTTGAGAACACTTTCATGATCAATCATTATAAAACATATCATATATATTATTCCGAAATGGACCAATCTGCACAATCAATACTTTTACTTTTGACACTATAACTATATTTTGATGCTAACACTTTTCTACTTTTTGAATGCAGGACTTTTACTTGTAACAAAGTCTCTCCCAGCTCTGTCTAAACATTATTCTGTTGCCGTCTTTCTTTCTTACCCCAGTTGTAGGTGATCAATGTTTTTTTGCTCATGCATGTGTTTATAGGAGCTGCCTGAATGAAGCCAGTCAGAGCGAGCACTCTGTTCACTTCCACTCAGTATTCAGTTCACAGTACACTCAATCTATGCAGCCTATCCACTGCCAGCGATTTTGCCTCAAACAGCTCGGCCCTTTTGCACTGTTTAACAATATTGAACAACCTGAAAGTGAATGACAGTCCTCATAGGGAACCAGAAATAACTGGTTCTACATCAAGTGGTTGAAACCACAGGAAGTGCTGCTGTTAGTTTGGGAACACTATGACATGGGACATGAATGTTGTATCCAAGTAGAATTTGGCTCCATGTACAAACTGTAGTGGATCATTTTTTAATGTTGTACGTTTCTGTGTTGTCTGAATGTACTAGCTGTGGAAATGTAAGGATCCATTCTAAAAAGTGATGTGTTGTTTTTAGTTTTCAAAGAGTTAAAGCCAATGCCAGGAAAAATAAAACTATGCACCCGGCTTAAACTCAAATTTTTTCCCCACATCCATTCTTATCCTCCCATCCATCCTCAATATCTAATACTCTTCATCTCATTAAATGTCTAACGATCACTGTGGCATGGTCCTTACTACTGAGGTGGCACAACCACTTGTTCTGTCGAGTGTTAAAAGAGTTAAACACACGTTCGAACCTAGACTACCTACCGCACCTGAACCAGCTACCTGTAGCAGGCAAATCACTGTGTAATGGGATGATGTCAAAGCTGTTATCTGATGAAGTCTGGGGTGGCTGTGGCTCAGTGGATAGAGTGCTGGACTTCGAATCAGGGGGTAGCAAGTTCGAGTCCCACTGCAGTCAGCATGTCGTTGTGTCCCTGGGACACTTCACCTAAGTTGCTCCTGTGGGGATAGTCTACAGTACTGAATGTATGTAAGTCGCTTTGGATAAAAGTGTCTAACAAGTGACATGTAATGTAATGAAGTCCCGGAAATGTGTAAAGTGAAGAGTTGTAGCACTGATGGTGACAGCTTGTGGAATCCAAACAGAAAATGCTGCCTTCCGAATATAGGATTGAGCAGCAGAGCAGGACAGTGTCTCTCAATTCACCCATCCTCTTTTATACAGTTATTTCCCAATGGGTCTATTATCAGTGTCATATCAAGTCATAATCTTCCAGCTCTCTGTCTAACTTTCTCCTGTACAATCATTTTAATTGTGATTTTGAAATTAAACACTCCAGAATCTCATATGCATGCGTAGTTTCATTGACACAGAGTTGCACATCCATATACAGTGTGTATATTTTATTTGTTGTTATAAAATGAGAGGTATGAATCCAAATGTTCAATGGTATCCATAGGGGGATGGAACTGGAGAGACCAAAGAACCAACCATACAATACCCAAGCATCAAATACATGTACACTTTGTTAGTATCATTGAATACATTTACAAAAAAACAAAAACATGTTCAACCGCAGTTCATTTTGAGGTTGCCATACATGAAACAAAAAAAAGGATTTAGAACACAAAGATAAAAATAAAAAAACAGACCTTAGTTGGCTGTTCAGTTGAAGTAGTGGCTAAAGAGAGCTAGCTGCCTCCCCACCATATGCAGGACACAACATGAATCTAAGGTCATACCCGTTAACTCACCTTCAGAGACAAAACGAAAGACTACAATCCTGTTAAGAAAGGCATTATTGATGCTATTTACAGTTGAATAAACACCCACAGTGTATTTTTGGTGAACATTTTAGATATATAGGAATGTTGCAGCCTCCATCTGGATATCAGGAGGGACGGGAACGTCCAGCTACTGTTTAGTGGTCTTATATGAAAGAGTAACAAAGCACCAGAGCGCAAAGCATATTGATGTGGTGGCACTTGGTCTGTAAAAATCAATGCGTGTATTCTTAAATCTTCATGGCAGACTCAGCAGCTGACAAACATTACGCTGCACTGTCTAACTTAATGCAGCTCCACCTTGGTTTGATGATAAAGTCTAGGACACGTGCTCTGGATGGAGTGATATGCTTTTTTGCTGTAATAGTCAGGAGGTATGAGGCCACGCTAAAAGGCAGTCAGGGTGGTTCTTCTGGTACATTCTAACATTTTAGTTCAGTACTTACACCAAACCCATTACCAATTTTTCTTTACACAATCATAGCATTGACTAATACAAACACAACTGTTGACATATGAAGAGGCATAGAATCTAAATATGAGGTAGATTTTGGTTTATCAATTTAAAAACGGTACTTCCAGTTAAGTCAGTATCTGAGTGAACTTCTGAAATCAGACCCGCCCAAGCATAACCCAACTGGTAGTGCTTGACTAGAGACCCCGACCTGCCTCCAGACAGTGGATGCTCCTGACATACAAAGGACCTTAATGTGGGTTGCAGATGATCTGCCACCAAGAAAGAGTCTTAAATGACACTGAAACGTAAGCCAACCTGAGATGGTGATTCACTGTTGAAGAAGTAATGTTACCCCAAAGTGTGTTCAGAATGTGACACTTACATAAGTTTGATATATTAAAACACCTTTACAGTCAGTGTCTTATCCTCTCATAGACTGCCAAAATCACAGACTGAAAACATTCCAAATTCATAGTAAAATAAAAAAGAATATTTTTCTTAGTCTTTAGTCTGAACACACCTTGCCAGTGAAGCATTTCTCATATCAGGCAGTCTAGGAGGAGTTACTGTTGAGGGGTTGGCAGCCAATGGTTGGCAGCCAATGGTTGGCTCTGTGGACTGCTTGCTTTTCTTTTGTTGATTCTGACTCTTTCGACTTCCTCTCAAGTATTTTGCTTGATTGGTGGCTTCCTCTCAAATTAACAACAGAAAAAAGGATTAATAAATAAAATGTAGATAAAAACACAAGCATGTGCTAAGACATATTTTCAACTTGAACCCTGCTGTTTAGATTTACTCATCAAATTATCAAAATACACTTCTATTCCCTATGCTTACTCGTCAAGAAACAAAATCCTTTCTTTGTCTCATCAACTCTGGAAATTAAATCCCCAAACAATGGACTCCGACTGCAAAAGAGTCAGTAGGTCTTATTCCAAAAATGATTGCTCATTTAGCCTAAAAACACTTGTTCCTCAGGGAGATGGGATTAAATATGGATCAAGGAGACAAAGAATATAATCTACTCTCCATTGTTTCCACCTGTAAGAACAAAGTTCTCCAGGTGAAGCACCCTAAAGGAAGCTTGTGGAGTTTTTGTCTCCTTCAATCGTGAACTGGAAGGCGTCATCAGCAGAACGTAGGATGTTGGTGGAGGAGGGGGCCACAGGAGCCATAGGAGAGGACGCAGCTTCCGACTGGAGGGTGGAAATGAAATGTGTCATAATATTTGTCTTTTATTGAAAATGTGAGATTATACATAGACATGCAATGAGGTGAAGAGGTGTCAACCGCTAGGCCACCAGACGCTGCTCTTTGTTACAAAGACTGAAGAAGCTTCTTCCTGCCCTGAAGACAGCTTTTTTGGAAGGTCCCTCCAGAAGATAAATCTAAAACATGGGTGATGCTGTTATCACAGCAGCAGCACATGCTCTGCAGGTGTCAAACATGTTTTTATTTTTTGCAACTATTCTGCCCAGTGGTTCAGTCCTTCTCTTCACTTTATTCTATAGTGCACAATATGTTTTCCCATGTAATGAGCATCACATATGCACATGGGGAGTTTGAGAATGACAGCACTAAATGAATTTGAATTGAATTGAAAATTGAAGGCATTTTGTGTCAAAATGGGATCCACAGTAGTATTGAAATACTTGTTGCCAGTTGTAGAAAAAAATGTAAAAACCCATCATGAAGGGTTCTATATAAGTGATGGGGAACAACAACAAATCTTATCTGAAACTTAAATTAGAGGTTAGCAGTGGAAGGAGCACTTTGTGTGTGTGCGCGTGCGTGCGTGTGTGTGTGTGTGTACCTGTGATGGGGCAGTCAGCAGGGGGTCGGCGGGGGAGGCTGCCATGCTGCTGGTCTTCGCCTCCTCCCGAGCATGCTCACTGGCGGCTGCAGGTGGAGCACTGTACATGGCTGGAGCTGAAGCATAGCCCTGCACACAGGTGGAGAGAACCGACATTTGTCATTTCAATTTGCAGGAGATTTGTTTACTTTTGACAACATTGTGAACTCTTTTCCAATTTGTGTAATTCGGCTATAGCATTAGTAAATGTGTTTGAATGATGTCAAACAAGAACTGGTACCATTTGGGCTGCAGGTCCAGGGGGGTACTGGCCTGGAGGTGAACCGTTCCATTGTGGAGGCTGGGCAAGGGGAAACATAGCTGGACCAGCAGGAGGATAGGAAGGGTTCTGGGGGGGGTAGCCTGGGTACCCCGGGTTGAATCCCTGCAGACCAAAGAAAAGGAGCTAGATTAGAAAGCAGTGAGGGAGGGGGCAGGATCACAGAGAATCTAGAGAGTTTATAATAACAGAGAACTAGCTAAAACAAGAATCAGCATTGAATAAAGTGACTGTGCATAGAGCTGTGTGGGTGTAGTGTTGTCAGAGCACTTGGCTGGGCTAATCACATTCATGGAAACTTAGGTAAGCACGCTTGTAGTGTGATACTAACAGGAGAGGGGGGGGGGCCGTTCCACTGCCCTGGTCCGGGGGGAGGATGGACTGCAGGACCCTAATACACAAGAAACAAGCACACTTGCCTTTAATGAGCATTGCACAATCACTACACCAGAGAAGTTCATAATGATCATGTAAATGGATGAAGTGTGTGGTGATGTGTCAGTACCGTGCTGGGGTCCGGCCCGTGGTAGTACACCTGTGAACACACAAACACAACACCACACATCACGCTGTGCAACTGTGCAATACACAGCCAACTATATGAAGACATGTTTTTGAAGAAAGAGCAGCCATCAGCTCTTTAGAGTCTCACCACGCCTGGCTGTCCTGGAGTGTTGTATGGGGGAGCAGGTCCAACAGGACCACAGGGGGGGGGGTGAATTACATGTGGGGAGTTCTGGAGAGAGAGACAAAAGATGAGGCAATCCACTGTTTTGGGCTGTGACTAATAATTATTTCCATAACTGATCATTTGTAAATTTTTCTCAGATTAAATAACAGTCAGTCTTGTCAAATGTCATATTGCAGGAACAGATTTAAAAAAAGAGTCAAACTTTCTCCAGATGCAGTACCTGCAGCATTGTAGCGTGGGGGGCTTTCTTCTTAAAAATATTTTTCCGACAGCAGCAGCAGATCCCAGCCGGGATGCCCAGCAGCAAGAGCAGAGCCAGTAGGGGGTTTCCCTCTGTGTCATTATGGTGATCTGTGGGGGACACAAGAGGGGGGGGGGGGTGTCAGCCTCACTGCGTGTCTGTGTGTGTGTGTGTGATTGGGATTGTACCTAGCGCAGGTGTAGGACGTGTTACAGGGGTATCTTAGTCAATGCACCCATAACTGTGTTACCTGAAGCCAAGACGAGAACAAATCTTAAAAATGGGTTCTGCCCTGTTCACTTAGATACAAAGCATACGTGGTGGCGCTGGTCATTGTTTACCTCAGTCTGATGAAGAGCTCCAAACTCAAGCTTGTGCTGAAGTCAAATAAAACGTATGGTCATAAAACGCTGTGTGCTTGATCCTGCAGCGTTGGAGCGCTTGTTGAGGTTGGTGTGTTATCAACGCAGTGTTGCAGTGGCCTAAAAATCATCAGCAACAACTGTTATAAATATTAGATGAACCATATGGGAACCGTGCAAGTCACTACAGTTAAATTAGTTAAAATGAACAGATTTGTTCCCCCTGTAATGCTATTTTGCTTACAATATGAAATGGATGAACAGCAATGAACTAGAAAATGCATTTCCTGCAGAAAATGCGTGCGAGTGCTGTAAACTGTGAACATTTGTGGCTGAATTTAGCTGAAAATGCAGAAAAAGCTGAATATGTTATTAGCTGAATGGTAGCTGCTTTTTTTTGTTTTAGCCAAGTAAGTGTGTTGCTGAACTTAGCAGAGAAATGCAGAAAAGTGAAATGGTTTGAATCAAATTGTTACAGCTCAAATGCATTGCAATGAATTCCATGTTAAAAAAAGCTTTTAAAAAGCTGAATATTTTAAAAAGTACAACTTATTTTGAAAGAGTTGAAAGTTTCCCATCATGTGCTGAAAAGGCTGAATAGTTTGATATTTGAATGGTTCCTGCAGCTGAAATTCGGCTGAAGGAGTTACATAAATATATTAAATGTAAGTAGTAGTGAATGAATGTTTATAATAATCTGTGTTTGTGTAAACCCAGAAATCAATGGTTACAATGGAGACAACTTATGACGATTTACCAACTGCAGCACTGAGTCCCATTAAGAATGCATTGAGGATTATATCTGACAATTTGGCCACCTTGTGAAGTTTGGATACTACTTGGACTCTAAAGCAGAGACTGACAAAAATAAAGTTTCAACGTGTTTAATAAACAAAGGTAGTCCAAGGCAGGTACGGACTACAGGGAGCTGGCTGGCCGTAGTAAGTCCAAAAACGAAGCTGCGGGAAAACGTTCCCGACAAAAACTCAAAAAGAACTCCTAAACAAACTGCGAAGTGAAACAACAACAGACTCCAGGCTGCAGAAAGGCACTCCGGACCGCGGAACAGCATGTAATTCTCTGGCAGAGAAGTGAGGTGAGGGCCAGGCTCTTAAAGAGCAGGTTGATCATGTGAGTGAGGACAGGTGTGCCTCATCTGCAGCCAGGAGTAAACCAGCCACGCCCCCCTGTCACACACCAGCCCTGCAGAGACGGAAAGACAGAGTAGTGAGCAGTAAAAGGAGCAAACAACAAGTAAAACACAACAACAAAAAACTCCAAGCAAAACATAACACACCTGTTCTAAAACTATGGCTCCTATAAAAAAATTACCAGACCGTGAGCATCAGGGAACCCCAATGAACTGATATCTGTTTGTTTTTTTGATTTTGTGTGTAAAATGTGGAGATGGGAGCAGTTTGTCTAAAGTGTACTTCTCTCTGTTCTGAAGAGAATTTCCGAAAAAATGTAACATGGGAATCAAGTGGGAGCTAGGTGGACTTTGTGTCTCTTCATGCCCTCAAGAGGCATTTTGTTTAATATTTTTTCTTA